TAGTTTCTTTTTAAGGGGTTTGTGTGTGCCTATTCTTAAAATGTTCCGGCGTGTTGCACAGAACCCCACCCTGTTTTGACTGGGCACCCTGGTACCTTTCAGATTCAATTCTTCCTTCGGTTGTACCTTCTGTCGACCCAGGCAGACTGCAGCGATGTGGCCTTTCTTTCCGCACGCTCGGCAAATGGCGGAACGGAACTGACATTCCGCTTGCTTGTGGCGTCCACCGCATCCGAGACAACGAAGCTCAGCTGGGTCCTTGTCCTGACGATCATTGGACCTCCTCCCAGCTGCTTGGTAAAGCTTGTCCACCTCTTCTTCAGGATCTTCTTCCGAATCCTCGCGCACGTCTTCCTTGTGGATAGTGGCGGTCTCTGGAGCGCTTCGCTTAGGCCGCATGTTCTTGACCGCCCCGCCTGCAGCTTCTTCTGCCGAAACCTCTCGCAGAGCATCTTGGAAGGAGACATCTTCCCTGGCGAACAGCCTCTGCTGTAAGTCTGTGTTCCTCAGTCCGCACACAAAACGATCACGCAGTCTTTCCTCTAAGTCCTTGAAATCACACGGTTTAGCTGCTCTTCTCAAGGCCACAACAAATTCTTTTGCTGATTCCCCAACTCGCTGATCTCTCTGTTGAAATGTGTGCCTCCAAGCCATGACAAACTGCTTGGGCTGGAAATGTTCCTTTAAGACTTTCTTCAGGTTGGAGTATGATACCATTTCCAGCGAGTCCGGGGCGATTAGGCTCTCGGCGATCTCAAAGGCATCTTGCCCACAAATGCACAACAACGTGGCAGCCTTTAAGCCTTCCTCCCTTATCTGGTTTATGCGGAAATACGTCTCGACTCTTGCAAAATAAGATTCCCACCTCTCGGGGTGAGAGACGTCGAATTCCGCTAAACGCCCAACTTTCACCATGATCGAGGATCAGGGTCTTCTTCTACAGCCGCACGCACCCTCCAGTGATTTCGTACTGGCAGGATAACGCTGACTTCCACGCCGTTTTCCTCTTCTGGACTTCTTTGGGTGAGTCTTCAAGGTTTCCTAGCTGTATAGACTGTATCCCACCTTCGTCGCCAGTGGTAAGTCCGGAGAATAATGGCGCTTGAGATGAAGCATTTCTAACAAGTCTTTATTCTCTGCTTCCAATCTACGAACAACCCGAGCAGAGGCACGCAGGCCTCTATTTATACCTTCTGATCCCCGGGC